TTTATCATAAATATAGTCATACTTTTAATGTGCTTGAATATAAGTCTGTGATATTTTGATTGTTTTTATCTTATTTTATCTCTTTTTACACACAGTTACTTACATGATGTAAGTACATCCGTTTATGTTTTTATAACTTTTTACATAGTATTATATCATTGGGTTTCTTTCCTAGCTATTATAGTTTAGGTATATTGTAAATTTATAAACTGTATCATATACAAGCATCAAACTGGATGTGATTAAAGGACTAAACTTTAAGTAACAAAAAGTATATTAATCCATACTAATATTATAAATGTAAAAGTGTGTTTGTTTGTGTGTTTGTCCTTCTTTCACGTCAAAACGGAGTGACGGATTGGCGTGATTTTTTGTGTGGAGATATTTGGAGGGCTGGAAAGTGACATAGGCTACTTTTTACCGCGGAAGTTGATCTCCTTTCCATGGGAAAGCACGTTATAATACGACCCAAAAAATTGTTTATGATCAGAATTACTTAAAACTTGGTATTAATGCTCCTCAATACAATTAAATAAATACGTGTTTTAGCATTTTTCGAAATTCACATAAAGGGGTAAAATAGGGGATGAAAGTTTGTGTGAAATCTATCTCTTTAGAGTTTTTTATAGTTTTAGCGCGAGTGAAGCCGCGTATTCTCCTAGTATAATAATAATACTAATATAAGTCACATAAAATATAAGCAGGTTAATATTATTAATCGGGATTACAATAACTATTCAATATCAAGTCATATTTTACTGGTAACACCACTACACAATATAATATGTATGTACGTACGTATTGTTAATAATTGTGTGATGCCTGGTGGGTGTGACGGTTCGGTTCCTTCGATGGGCGAGTACAATTAGCACTTGGCTAATTTTCACTGCTGTGTTTTGTAAAGTAAAAGCTATTTATTTACGTATTTCAAACGTGGAATAGAGTGATCTTGTCGATTTGCTTTAAAGTAGAATAATTTTTACTCAAAAAATATTCAGAAATAGTATTCTGATTTAAACTTCAAACTATAAAATAAATCTTAATTACGTGAAGTAAATCCTATATTATCTTATCAAGGTTTCGTATCTATTGGACTCCTACGAGTATGATGCGTGCGAATACTTTGTTAAATATCTCAATGCGTTTCATATTTTCAGGGTTATTTGTGAAGTGTTCTTTGTTTGGCATAAAAATATTAAAACAAATAGGGCATGTTTTATTTTATTTTAGCTATCCGTTTTGTTTAATTAAATGTTCTTTAGTATATACCTATATATGTATGTATATAAAATGATATTTCTATTTTTGGAACGAAGTTCCTTATCGCACGTATACTCAGCACATTTGGCGAAGAGAGCTAGACGGAAAAAGTCAACCGACCGTCATGACACTTTATTATTTACTAAGAGTAGCCCATGTGACGTCATCATATATACTTACTATATTATTATAGGCGATAATATGTGTTAAGGAATGTAATTAATTCGAATGCACTCTTATGGCGGGACTCTACATATATAATGGACATTTCTTGAATCCCTCAGTAATCGTGAGAATTATTGTCATCAGATATTTTGAGCAAAAATATCATAAACTTTATAGTCGATTTTTGCCTCTTCGGCTTGTGCAAATCGGCAGATTATTGAATTGGATACTTTTCAGGATGTGACTAGCCTACCACACCTTAATCTGACGGTTTCAAGTATTTCTACCTTATCAAAACATTTTTTAAATATTTTAATCGGCTTCCCTAGACGCGCCCCTTTATATAGAAGACTTATATTATGGTGAAAGTACTCAATAGAGTGCAAGGTAACCTCTTTTATGTTAATCTGCCGCGCTCGAGTAACTACAGAAAATCCCCTCTTGGGCTCCCCTACTATTTGGAATACTTATTTGTTGGAACACATCCAAACATAGAGACCTCGTAAGAGACGTAATATTAGTGTGTTAGGCTGGGATTCATCTAGATCTTAAGTATTACTCAGGTTAAACCAATAGCGATTTGCTTAGGGAAGGTTCCCTGCGACTTTCCAGTGAAATATAAAACATTAAATGCATAATGAATGCTATGCAATAAGGTTTTGGATAGCCTTAAAAAACTATATGAGATTAAAGGACGTCTAGACGACTTGTTGGAGTGGTGTAATAGTCCTATAGTGATTTTCGGCAGATATACGAGTATATAGGTTTAGCTGGAGATATTATGTCAGTGGTGTCACAATTAACTAACAGCTCTGCCGGAACTATCATGTAATCTTATTAGTGTTTATTAATATTAAAGATTAAATTTTTAGTTAATAATATTTAATATATTTTATGACTAGATTGCTTATTTTCGCTCACTGGACTACCAATAAACTTCTTAGAACCATTGGCGTGTGAAAGGCAATGCCCTAATCAAAGCATTTGACTCGTCACCTTATTCTTGTGAAACAAGATCTAATTGTTAATTAAGCAGTTACTCGATAAAATGTGAGCAATACTATTATGTACTAGTGAATCTCTATTGGCTTGTTCATGTCCTAAACCCGCGTGACATTTGATAAATAATTGATTAATTTCAATTACTATAATGACGATAAGTTCTATTTCATTTGTATGATGGAGATAAAGGTAGCTAATATTCCATGCCTTAGGAATTATGGTTGCCAATTTTCACCAATCTGATTAATAATTATAAAAGAGACACTTGTATTTATAATATTAAAAGACAAACAAAACATAACATAATATATCAATTTAATAAATTAAAAAATAAATTGACTTCAGTCTTCAAGTCAATTGTTACAGACAGAAGTTTTGGAAACAATACATAACGGTTGTTTTCCTATGACTCATCCTGTCAATCATTTACGCATTACGTCTTTCTGTAGTACGTATGCAAAGAATAATGTAGAATAAATTTTGGTTTACTGATTCTCCTTAACGTGAATGTTTATTTCTCTACGTAAAATAACTTGATAAAATCTTATATTTTCATAAAACTTTTCTCGATTTTAAATTGAGAGAGCAGAGCTATCTATAGTATACATTAGATTTAAGATTTATATAGGAATCTTAAGGAACTGAGCATAGCCCTGAGCGAGTTTGCGTTATGCAGAGTTTACATTCAATGGCGTGAACAAATCAATACAATTTTTCAAATTCATTATAAATAAGAATCATTAATCAATGATCAGTTACGGAGCTCCCATTAGGCTATAATAAAAAAATCCCTGATTTTACAGACCTATACATTTTGATTTTGCTGTTTATTATAAAACTAGCATTGCCTGCGGCTCCGCCCGCTTTAGATGACCAAAAAACAAATTCTTGGGTTTTACATATTAGTATACTCTTACATTGCAGTTTTTGGTTTTTTTTTTTAAAAATGAAATATTTTCCCGCGGTAAAAAGTATCCTATATAATATTTACCCGGATAACCAGCTATCACCATACTAAATTTCATCAAAATCCCTCCAGTGGTTTTTCTGTGATGCGGTAACAGACAGACAACAATTCTAAAAACTATAGATTCGGCCTCTATCGATAATAATGTTTAGTTCACTAAGATTTTCCAAAAAATATCTAATGTACAGATTCGGCTTAGTTACAATTTTATTATATGTATAGATAAAAACTTTTTAACAAAAAATAAAAACCGACTTCAAACAAAATCACTAAAAAGTAAAAATTAACTGATACGTAGTTTTCATTTACTATACATACATAATCAAATAGTTTCGAAGTCGGTGTGCTTTGCTTTGTATCGGCTGGCACCAACTTCAAAATTCAACATACAACACATCCATGCTGTCATCTCTTTTTATTGGCCGCTTTAGGTGTAGGTACACCCACCAATATACCAATAAAATTAATTATTATAATTAGTGTTAGCCTATGGGCTAGCTCTTTCTCAAATCAACTGTTATGGACTTTAATTTAAAATATTATGCGCCTGTTACTAATTCAACGCGTATTACCCATTTTCACTAAAACAACTTGCCAAGTTCGTGAGGTACTAAAAATATGAAACCCTATTTAAAATTAAATATATTAATATATTATTTTAATAAATAATAAATAAATATGTTGGGACATTAACACACTGCACCATCTAGTTCCATGGTAAGCTACGAGGCTTATGTTATATATACCAGATAGTTGATACACTACACATATATGACTTTAAATACATTAGACCAGGGTAGAAGCCTTTAAAAATAATAAAAAGTGAAAAAAATAATTGTAGGATGCAACCCATTAGAAAAGGAGGGGAATATTATAAAAATGAAAGGAAAAATAATTTACGGGCGATCTGAGGTCGGGAAGGGGATGGGGGTGAGTTTTTAAGGGTAAAAAACGGTTTTTCTCGGTTTCCGGCAAAACTAAAAGTCCTATCGAAAAAAATCTAATGGCAAAGTTGTAGGTAATAAAAAGATCTAAAACTTTTGTATTTACACTTTTTTCACATAACCTCAAAATTTATGTGAAAAATTCAAAAAACCAAGTTTTTGGTTTTTTATTTTTATCTTTTACATTTTTTTTAACGAAATTTGGTGAAAACTTACCGTTTTAAGTCCCAAATACGCTGTAATGTATTTGATTAAAAATATGTATTTTTTCACCTTATTTTGAATTAATATCGAAAAAGCACCCTAATTTTCAATCGAAAATTCACCCGTCAAAATAACAGCTTTTTTCAAAAAGTTGGTATGTTTTCTGTTCGTTGAAATCTCTACTTTCCGATGGTGAAAAAAATATAAAAAATATGTATAGTAAATATATTTTTAATAACTAACTTTTGGCCGATTTTCATGTATATTTCATATATGAATCTGTTTGTATCATCTGCAATAATATAAGGCAGATGATAAGCAAGTGTATGAAATAAAAAAGGCTTTTTGTTTTTTGCATTTTCTCAGAAGATTTACTATAGTAACAATTATTTTTTTTAAATTTTTAAAAATATAATATATATATATATATATATATATATATAATTTTATATTTACAGTACTCAACCTGACGTTAATCGATTTGCCGGGTCTAACAAAAGTGCCCATTGGAGATCAGCCTTTGGACATCGAACAGCAAATCAAAGCAATGATATTTCAATTTATAAAACGCGAATCGTGTCTTATCCTTGCCGTGACGCCAGCTAACACTGACTTGGCGAATAGCGATGCCCTTAAACTTGCCAAAGAAGTCGACCCTCAAGGTAAGATATATTATATATGTATTAAGGTAAGATAGTATATAAAAATATGTATATGTAAGTAGTATATATTTTTTTAACTGAGAAGCTTATGTAATAGATTTTTCATATTATGTAAATTAATTTATCTATCACAAATAGGTCTTCGCACAATCGGCGTAATCACAAAGCTGGATCTCATGGACGAAGGCACAGATGCACGAGATGTGCTAGAAAACAAGTTGCTGCCATTACGGCGAGGTTATATCGGTGTGGTCAACCGTTCACAAAAAGATATAGATGGAAGAAAAGACATATCTGCCGCACTCGCCGCCGAGAGGAAATTCTTTCTCAGGTGAGTGGAACAAACAGTAGGACGTAGCTTGTTACGAGCGCATATCAATTGAATGCACTGACTTACTATTATTATTTTATTAGCATATGTAATAGAATGCATAGGAAAATTTTATTTACAATATTATGTTAACCATTTTTTTGTATTTGTAACTACGTACATATATATATATGTATATGGTCACTATTACTTGCCATGATCGAAACGTTTTTTATGGTTTAGTAAATAATATATTGAACTCGCGAATACTTTTGAGAATTTGTGATAAATGAGGACAATAAAATATTAAATGAAGCTTTGACATTTTAAATAGAAATTATAATTTAACATAAATTTCAGTCATCCTTCCTACCGGCATCTCGCGGACCGGCTCGGCACCCCCTATCTGCAGAGGGTCCTCAATCAACAACTCACGAACCACATTCGGGACACTCTCCCTGGCCTGAGAGATAAACTGCAGAAACAGCTCCTTGCCCTCGAAAAGGATGTGGAACAGTATAAGCACTTCCGACCTGATGACCCATCTATCAAGACTAAGGCTATGTTACAGTATGTTTATTTCAAATACTTTTATCATTTATTATTATAAAATGGTCTAGTTTTAAGTTTCATAAAACACATGAAAATAAGCTAGCTAAGAAAACTTAAAACAAAAAAATAACAGAAATAAGTAGCATATTGAGATGGAGCCTGAATTAGTATTCACTTTTCTCAAGTAAAAATAATAATTCGTCACCACAGAATGATCCAGACGTTGCAAACGGATTTTGAACGTACCATCGAAGGTTCTGGATCGGCTCAAATCAATACAAACGAGTTGTCGGGCGGTGCGAAAATCAATAGACTGTTCCACGAGAGGTTTCCCTTCGAAATTGTCAAAATGGAATTCGACGAAAAGGAGCTGCGTAGAGAGATTGCATTCGCTATCAGGAACATTCATGGTATCCGAGTGAGTATCTCGAGTTCTATTACCGTTTTAATTACAGTGTTTCAAACCGTATTGCTTGATATATCAATGTCTTAGCGGTTTTATGACACTCGTCCTGTTGTCTCTATATTTGTGAAGTTAGGATTATTCCTATGATTTCTTATAGAACCAAAAATCTAAATAAATTTGCGAAAAATCCGCAGATATGTAGTTTTATTTAAAAACGATTATTTCTATTTGTAAGATGAGCAAGGGGGTCCGTAAATTACGTGGCTGTTAAAGATTTATATGATTGAAACATAAATATATTAATTTTGAAAAATAGAGTTATAATAATTAATAAATAATAACAAATCATCTATTCAAAACTATTAAATTATTTTAATATGTGGCTGTCATGTGTAAGCTTTTAAACAAAGAATAACCTATATTGATAACAATTAATATTTCCATTTTACATTAAATTAATATAAATAATATAATAATCTTAATAGGATGAAAAATCAAATAACAATGTAGTAAATATTCAAATAAATATATATTGAAGAAATTAATATAATAGAAGCATAAATTACAATTTCAGAATTTTATTTTCCTATTTAGTCGGCCGCGGAGTAGTAGCAATGCGCTCGTTTGTACAGTAACGTGAAGCGGGTTCAAATCCCGAGTCTCGGAGGTCTAAGATTTTTAAGTGCGAATATCGTTTTCAATGTCGTACCACTTGCTAGTACAATGGGGATAAAAATTCGTGAGGAAACCTTTACGTAAGAGAAAACTTAAAAGTTCTCGAAAGACTATTAAAAATTTACAAGGTATATTAGTAGCTAAAATTCATAAAAAGCAGTTGAGTAGCTCCCCGTTTTGTAGGCTCTTGCAAATATCAAAGTGGAAATTAAAAAGAATTTGACATGTGGACATAATGAAGTAAGTAAGATGAAAGTAATGACTAAAGTATTTTTATTATGAAAATTATAGGTTGGTCTGTTCACTCCCGACATGGCGTTTGAGGCGATAGTGAAAAAACAAATATCGCGGCTAAAGGAGCCTTGTCTCAAGTGCGTCGACTTGGTCGTGCAGGAATTGTCGAATGTAGTCCGCGTCTGCACAGAAAGGGTGAGTGAGCTTTTTTAAACATTTAGATATTCTATTTTTAATTTAAATATTATAGCCCTCATTCGCTGTATGCTGTAGGTTCAAATTCCGAGTCTGATATTTTCACCTCGGATGCTTTCATGTGAGAATCATTTTTGACATGATTATCACTTGTCTTCCGGAGAAGGAAAGACATCGTGAGGAACCTAGCAAGTTTTCGAAAGACATGAAAAGTCTACCAACTCACACATGTCAAGCGTGGTGGTCTATGGTTTGATCTGTTATCCGATAGATTCGTAAGCCGAGGTCTAAACCTCGCAGGAGGTGCCTTTTCGAAACTACTATTTCTAGGCAGGACCTTCTGTTTGGCTTCCCGTCCGGTGCCGCTGTCAAAGCCAGTAGGGCCAATAGCACTTGACATTCTGAAAAAAATCACGTATAGAGGGGAGGCCCTTGTTCAGTAGTGATACTTTAAAAAGGACTGAATACGAATGTACCGGTTCCAGATCTGGAAGTCATGGGTTCGAGTTTCAGGTCAGGCCAAGTGAAGTTATTGGGTTTGTTAAGAAATACTCGGCTACAAATACTACAAATGCTCGGTTGCTGAGGATTTTTTATTTGACAGTAAAAGGAAAAAATTGCACCTTGTGTTTGCTTGCATACTTATGCATTTATATCTCCTGCGTACATGGTTAGTCTCAGTGTGAGCGCTCCCGTGGCCAAAACTTGGTCAGAAGGACCTAATTATTATTATACTTTTACTGAAGTCTTTTCAATTGCGGATGTAATTATTTTTACAATAAACGGGCTTTATTACAACATTAGTATATGTGTACGTATTCAGATGTCGCGCTACCCGCGCCTGCGCGAGGAGACGGAGCGCATCATCATGTCGCATGTGCGGTCGCGCGAGCAGCAGTGCAAGGACCAGCTGGTGCTGCTGGTGGACTGCGAGCTCGCCTACATGAACACCAACCATGAGGATTTCATCGGTTTTGCCAAGTATGCTTTCATTTTAACACATACTAGCCCCCCCACGCCCCCCCCCATATTTTTGAATTTCTCGGTTTTTCTGTGCATGTGTATATTATATAATATGCATGTATTATACATATAAACCTTCCTCTTGAATTTTTATTCAATCCAATGATTTTAGGTAGGGTAGTTTATACTTTTAAAACAAATTAGGAGAAATTTGTACATCTACATCTAGGTTTTATTTCATATACGACACCAAAAATAACTTTCACAATAATATTGAATCACTTATAGGTATAATTTTATAATAATTTAAATATTTATGAAATATATTGATTTATACTTATAAGGAGTAGTCTTGCTTCTAGCGCACAGAATCAGTCTGAAAATTCAGCTAAGACAGGTCATCGGGCACTCGGCAACCAGGTCATCAGGAAGGGATATATGTGCATTCATAATTTGGGAATTATGAAAGGTACGCAAAAATATTAATAATTTTAGATATAACGGAGTAATATGCGTAATATTATTTCCGTAAAGTTTATTCTAAGATCCAACATAGATTATTATTATAATTAGAGAATGCAGCATAAAAGTGTCAAAATAAACATTTCAAATGACAAAAATTACAAAAATGTGACATTCTTATGTTTTTGTTTATTAATAATTAACTAAAATGCCGTACTTATTTAAATATTAGTAGTATTTATTTAATGTGTCAATGATATATAAAATTATTTATATAAAAATATTAAATTTTTGTTAAGATGTGCAAAATTCTATAAAAATAGATAAAATGTATGGGAACGCATATAATTTGGTCTATAATAATAATCATCAAAAGCAACATATTAAAAGATATTGAGTGAATAAACGAAGCGTTTATATAAATTAACTGTACCTACAGGCGGTTCCCGCGACTATTGGTTCGTGCTGACATCAGAGAGCATCTCCTGGTTCAAGGATGAGGAGGAGCGCGAGAAGAAATACATGCTGCCCCTAGACGGGCTCAAGCTGCGTGATCTGGAACAAGGCTTCATGTCGCGCAGGCACATGTTCGCCTTATTCAACCCGGAGGGCAGGAATGTGTATAAGGTGAGAGCAATGATTACAGTTAAAATCCTGTTTTTTTTTGCGTGAAATGCTTATAGTTATACAGACATACAAACAGACAAAAATTTCAATAATTTCTGTTTTGGTGTCTGTATTCTGTACACAATACATAAGTCATAGTTTTAAAAAAATTGTTCATGTACACAAATGTACTTTTGTTCATATTTTATTAGTGACTAGAGACTAACCCTCGCTCCGCTCGCGCTCGTCCCTAGTTATGTTTTAACGTTTAGTATAGATTTCTCAGAGATGAGAAATTTTCCCGCACTAAAAAGTATCCTATATGTTGACCTGAAAACCACCTCCCAAACCAAATTTCATCAAACTCTTCCAGTGGTTTTCTCGTGATGCTTTCCCAGACAGACAGACAGATAAAAATTCTAAAAACTATAGATTCGGCTCTGTACCGACAACAATGTCTATTTCAATAAAATATTCAAAAAATATATTTAATGTACAGATTACACTCCGGTAGAATTTTATTAGTAAGACTCGCATTGCCCACGGTTCCGCCCGCGTTCAGGTGACCAAAAACCAAATAAAATAGCGTTATTGTTATTTTTTCCCAAGATAAGGTATTTTTAATAGTTTTTGCCTTATCTAGTAAGTTACCTTGCTAAAATATATATAGTATCATCGTCATTTTATTCTAACCAGATTCGGCCTCTGTATCGATAATAATGTTTATTTTAGTAAGATTTTCCAAAAAATATTTAATGTACAGATTCGGCTTAGTTACAATTTTATTATATGTGTAGATGTATAAATTATTGGCGTTTTAAAGTATATAAGCCTGATGTAAGAAATTATCAGGAATACATGATGTTCTCCTAGCCGATTCCGGCTACGGCGGCCAATCTCATTGAGATTAGCCAACTGCGCAGGAGATATTATAGTGCTCAAGTGTACGCGCAGACACAAGTGCACTGTCTATTCCTATCACTCTCATATTCCGGTGGGACGACCACTCGACACGACGTGAGAGTTAAGGCGCAGGACCGACGGCTTTACGTGCTCTCCGAGGCACGGGGGTGAAACACCGCCAACTTCCCAACTCCGGGCTGTTACTAAGACTTACTATACAGAAAGACTCAATAATTAAACTTTGGCCCGACCCAGGACTCGAACCCAGGACCTCCGGGTGTGCAGCCGTACATACTAGCCACTACACCACCGAGGCAGTTAATGGAATACATAATATGTATATATATTCACATAATATGTATGTAAATATATTCACGCACAATTTATGTCAAAATCATACAATAAAATTATAAATGTTCAATAAATATATTCATAAAAATATCTAAAGTAAACAAAATATTTGTTCAGGATTATAAGCAGCTAGAATTATCCTGTGAAACTCAGGATGATGTGGACTCATGGAAGGCGTCATTCCTTAGAGCTGGTGTGTATCCCGAGAAGACTTCCGAAGCAGCTAATGGAGACGAGGTTTGCATATATCTTTAATATAAATGTTGCCTGTTTTTCTTTCTTCTCATTCTTTTTACTTTCGTTCTTCATTTTTCCCTATAATAAATGTAGCATATTAAACAAGCAGAGTGTTGCTTTATATAAAAATAAATATTTTTTTTATTCTATGTCTATATTATGTACATATACTTTTTAATACGATGTATGTATATGTCAGTATTGAGTTATCCAATGATTTATTGTTTTGCCATGCGATACAGGGCGAAGGAAATGAGGTTTGTCAAAGAAGGCTTTTTGATTTGATTTTATATGTTCTCATATATCACATTAATACAATGAGATATTAAGAGTGGATTTCAAGAAGATTTGTTATATGGGATATTGTTATTTATGAAATATAATATAAATTATAAGGCCATATTCTTGAAATACATTTAGGACAAATCAAATAGTATTAAAGCATGTAGTGTACTAATTGTGTGGTGTGTTGCAAGTATCACGCTATCGTTGAGCCATTCGAGCACACATTAACAAACACTTATACCAACTGATTCAAAGCTAAAATATAATAACACCAAACAAAGATTGTAATAGATGGGGTATCACAACCTATATTTTACCAAAACTACTTTTTCCTTCACACGCTTTTTATTTTGTAGTTTATATATGTTATATATATGTATGTTATATATATATGTATATAAATGTACGATGTGTCGTAGTTATATAGTTATTTTTTAAGTTTTTGTAGTAGTAATGTTTATCTTTGTTCTTGTGTTTTAATTTTTTTAATTTCCTACCTAGCATGTTATGAAAGGTACCCGATTTTAGCTTTGTGATTTAAGTGTTATTTTTTTATTTTTAGTTATTTCCGCCTATTCCGGGGTTGGGTGGAAATAAGACAGTAAGTCATAAGAATTTTCGAGTTTTGTGGTTTGATTTTAAATTGGCTTATTATTGAGTGTAGGGAGTACATATCCTGTATATAATGCGAGTGTGGATTACTCTTAAGATATAAGAGATAATCTGAAAGATCTTTAATTTTCCTTATTACTAATGATTTATACGAGTTTGGGTATATATTAGTCGAGTATGATGCTAATAACATGAGACCTGCTGATGGGTTTTTTGTAGGTTTTTGTAGTTGTCATGATGATCTCGAAACTAAGATGGTTAATATTTTAGACACCAACTAATAAATGTGGCTTGTGCATGATACTTTTTTAATAATAATAAAAAAAGTCAGTAGATGCCTGATATGTTAAAATAAAGCTTACATGACATTCACTTCATTATTAAAGTTGTCGTATTTTAAAATAGATGGCTATAAGTTTATAGAAATAGAATGCTTCTAGATATTTTAATTAAAATTTAATTAAAATCGCTATTAACAATTATACCTACATAATTATCTTAAAAAGATATACTTGACATTATACATTAACCACATTTTGCCAATTAATACCTTCAGGGTTATGGAACAATTCATCACGAACACTTGTAACAAATATTGAGATATTTTGTTCATTAAATAAAAACAATTACTTTCAGAACTCGGATACGTCCGGCACGAGCAGCATGGACCCGCAGCTCGAACGCCAAGTGGAGACCATCCGCAACTTGGTCGACTCGTACATGCGCATAGTGACCAAGACCACCCGCGACCTGGTGCCCAAGACCATCATGATGATGATCATCAACAACGCCAAGGACTTCATCAACGGGGAGCTCCTTGCGCATCTTTATGCGTCCGGTGATCAGGTATAACTTAGTTAATATGTTGTGGGTGCAAATTATAAGAGAACTAGCGACTCAGCCTCGCTTCGCTCGGGTTCGTCCCTAGGTGCGTTTTATTTTTTTTGAGCGGAACCCTAATTCTATCTTTAAAATAAAACTAGCCTATATTACTCCCTATAACATCTTCCAGTGAAAGTTCCGTCAAAATCAGTCCAGCCATTTCAGAGATTATCCGGAACAAACAAACAGACAGACGAACAGACAAAAATTAAAAAAATGTATTTTTCTTATAAGTACCGTTTAGAATATCATATGCATTTTGTAAAACGATGTTATTTTGACATTACACACAGACATTTTAATTTTATTTATCTTATATATATTTTTGTAATTTTGATACAATTTTAGTTAATTCGTCCGAATTTGACGTGATCTATTCATTGAGATAACTTATCCCGGCAACTTAATATAATTCCTATTAATTTTAAAATACATACACAACGTCCTAAAATAAAATATGTGATATTACAAATAACAAAAAAAAAATCCCACAGTCCCAAATGATGGAGGAGTCCCCTGAAGAGGCACTCAAGCGCGAAGAGATGCTGCGCATGTACCACGCGTGCAAGGAGGCGCTGCACATCATCGGGGACGTGTCGATGGCGACGGTGAGCACGCCCGTGCCGCCGCCCGTCAAAAACGACTGGCTCGAGAGCCGCCTCGACTCCAACCCGCGCCTGTCGCCGCCCTCGCCCGGCGGCCCGCGCCGCGCCGCGCCCGCGCAACAAGGTCACACATTGATTTATTTTTTATGTTTCATGTTTTGAGTCAGCCTAAGTTTTGTAAGACATATAATAATTAACATTTGGTTTAAAAATAATGTATGACACATTTTTATAAGTTTGCAGTTAAATATTTGGACTACACCATTTTTATTTGGATTTATTTGCCCTAAGGACGGTAGAAGTTCATTATCTTCACATCAAACATGTTGTAGTATATTTTAATAATTTATTTCATTAATTTTTAGCTATATCCAAAACTATTATTTTTATTTTAGACATATAAAAGATGGCGTACTTTTAGTCAATATTACTGCCAAAGCAGCTACTTTATGTGTAAATAACATTAGTAGGCTTGACAATGTTTAATAAGACTAGTTTAGAATGGTAATTTTTTAATGGGAAACAGATTTGTGATCTGATTTAATTATATAGCATATACACAATTAACAATCTAATTATTTATCATTTAATTAAAACTATTTTTTAGCTGTTAAGATAAAAACCATATATGAAAATATTATATACCTCTCTATGTCGTGTAACAGGATCGCTGGGCCAGCGCGGCGCGCCCCCGGTGCCGGGCGGCGCGGGGCGGCCGGCGCCCCCGCTGCCGTCGCGGCCCGGCGGTGCCGCCCCACCGCCGCCCGCCGGCCGCCCCGCGCCCTCGCAGGGCCTGCCCGCGCCCCTCATACCCACGTGAGTACACACTCACTGTGCAGACATCACATTACCTTACCTTACAGATCCAGTCACGTAAAAATAACTCTGAGTGACAGTGGAGGGGATGTGTCTGTGCATGGGTACAATCGTGTCCTAAAATACTAGGCTAAATTATTTTATAAGTGTAATTGTTTTATTGTAGAATCATAATAGATACTTTACGAGTACTTTGGGATAAAAAAAATAGATAATGTTTATTTTATTTTTTACTTCGATATTAAAATGTATAGTAGGTTTTTATCAGAAAACTGAAACAAAGGCCCGTTATATCTTTCTTTTTTATTCTTTTGTTTCTTTGTAGTCTCAGAAGTTTTCGCAGCTTCTGCAATCCGTTTCATATATTCTGAGCCTTTCTCAGCTTTTTTCTTTATAAAACAATAGGCACTATAAATCATTTTTCTTATGTAAAACCATCATCGTGCAAGGAAAGTTATGTGTGCGACTGTACTACGGGAACGAACGAAGCGTTGTCTCAGCATGGGATGCATGAGTCAACTGACGAACCAATAACGTGCGCACACAGACATACCGGGGGAGTGTTCCCCCGTCGCACCCCTTACATACCACCAATTTTATCTATAAATCGTTCAGTGCGCAGGTAAACGGCCAGCGTTCTTTTTACGTGACGGGAACTATACCTACCTTATCTTTACAATTAGTGCAAAACTGGCCTAACTTATATTCAAGAAACAGGGATGATGATAGTAAATTTTTGTTTTTGAGCCCACTTTTGCACTAAAACCTTCAATTTGTTTGTTTGTTTTTTTGTTTCCATGTCTCACTAAATCTACACGATTATAAAGTTAATAACTGAAGAATTAAGTGCTAAAAGTATTACAATACACCTTTTGATTTTTATTTTTTTGAATATATTATTATAATTAAATAACTGGAAGGAGATAAGAAAAAGCAAATTTTTTTTTTTCAAAATTTTTGTAGCTGACAAATTAATACATTTATGATTAGTTTCAAAATTTTACAATAATGTGTTTTTTTATATTTATGTATTATTAATGGCACACGCCATATTGAAATTCTATATATGTACCAAACTTATGTGCTTGCTTTTATAAAATAAACAAGATTTCTATGGGTGATGTAACCGCCATAATTGCATTTTTGTGTGGGCCTGGTGTTTATGTAATAATGTGACAGCTTTTTAATTTTAACATTAAATTTAACAAATAAATACATGTAAATAAGAAATTTGCTATTACATGCAAATACCTTTGTTAATATCGTTTCAAAATTTTAAATGTAATTTGTATAAGTCCCATTTATGGTGATATAGTTTTAAAATATTATCAAAGGTTTTGCAAAAGAGTGTATGGTTGTTCGCAGACGGCGTTAAGTGCGGACGGCGTTTTTAACATAAGTTACGTACGAACACGAGGTACTAACTGGCGAGCATGTTAACTTAGTGCAGTTTTATATTTTAATTCTCACCAAAATGTCATATTTATGGTTTTATAGAACTCATAATTTTTTTTGTTACATTTTCCCCACGAAATAGTTTTATAATATTGATGTTGAGTATTTTTTTAATCTCCCTCTCAATCACAATAATTATAAAGTTAGTAACTAAAATTGTTTGTAACTGATTGTAATAAGTTAACAATTTGTCAGTGCAAAAGTATTTATACAAAATGTTATATACAATATTAGTGGTTTAAACCACGAAACACTTATGATACGTCTGAAAGAATGTTGCTTCCAAAATTTTAAATATTAAAAAAATATAATGTAGGGGTTAGAAATATTATACAAAATTACCGCTTCTTTATTCCACGAACAGCCGTGAAGTCTTAATTGGGTTATTAAAAATATTTTTAGTCTGTATTCCTATTTTTGACAGTTATATTTTTTCATAGTAATTGTAAGGTTGTGCATTCATCGAAGGGCTGTCCGTGGAATAATATTTATGTAATCGATATTACATGATATTAATATGCACTATAACTAAATTCGAATCGATTATAGCGTTTAATGTTTACAATGCAAATTAGTCTCTAGAATAATTATTTACATTATTTTGTGTAATAATTCAGGTTTAAATAATATTTTGCGTTTCAATAATGTTGATGCACTGCATGAATTAGATGTCACTAATCAGTGTGTGGTCTTCAGTGTATAGTATTTTCGAAATTCCTTTGAATAACATTATTAATGTTTTATAGACATTTAGATTTGTGTCACTATTTATTTTCTTATATAGTTTAGGAAACCTGGATTTGTTAATATATATCACGATCAATCCATTCACAGTTGCCCTGTAAGAAGCTAAGAATGAATGTCAGATGTACTTCTTTTGCGATTTTTCTTTCTATTCCATGTTGTATTATGGCAGTTACATTACTCAGGTTAAATCTTACAGAGAAGCTGTGAGAATCAATAATTCATCTTTATATTTTTTGATTTGTCACTAAGTTTGAAGTACTTTAGTCTTCGAAAAATGACTTATTTCAAATTTTTGTACTAAAAATTATATTATGAAAGTTTTCTCTAAATTATATGTCTATTCAGACAGATTAATGAACTTTACTAGTTGTTAGAAATTTTGATTAACTGAGCTGATTCATAGCGTATATATGGCGGAACATTCAATAATCCAATCTTTCGCCGACTTAAGATTCTATGTAATCGCCGAGATTCAGAGGCGGAAAACTAAAAAAGTGAATTTTAGTTTTATATGACATGTAATTTTTTGCACAAAATAAATTAATAATAGGATGAAATATATCATAAAATATTTTATCTCATACTCAAAACATATGAAGTGAATTTCACAGCAAGTCAATAACAAACTAGGTGTCCGGGCCATGGCACATATAATTTTATATACATAATAATTTTAGTGGAGCTGGGTATATTCAGGGGTGGATCTATATATAGACTTTTTGGGCTGCAGCCTAGGGCCTTTAAGATATAACGGGCCCCCTGTTGAGAACAATGAATAATGTGAATTTATAATAAAAAAAAAATGACTAAAATAATAAAAATTAAGCCCCTAAGATCAATTAAGAATCAAACAATATCGTTGTCCTTATTTCATCTAGTACTATCTGTCATTATAGATTTTATAAAGACAAAATGACAGTTAAAGCCCCCAAGAAGTGCTAGCCCAGGGCCCCCCAACTTCACAATCCGCCCCTGGGTATATTTTATCCCATACTCCAAAATTACAATGTATATACTAGTGTCTTTCACAAGAAATAAATAACAAACTAGGCGTCCCGGGTCGGCGGGGGCGGCCGCCTTGGGCCAGCTGCCCCCGCACATGCGCCAGCAGATCAACCAGGCGGTGGGGCAGGCGGTTACCAACGCCGCCATTAGCGAGCTCAGTTCCGCCTTCGCGAAATTCAAGTAAATGTATAGCGGATGTGGGTGATTTAGTGTTGCCAGTGACGGGTTAATAATAAGAATATATATATATATATATATATATATATATATATATATATATATATATATATAAATGCGACTACGGATAATGGGTATAGAATAAACAAAATACACTAACAGAAATGTAATTTATGTCACCGGTGATAGTAATAATAAATAATAATTGACACCGCATTAATCAAAATTGGATTGGTAATGCAATGCAATGGTAATTTAGTAAATACAAGCATACATAATCTGCTAAAGCATAACTTTTACTTTTGTCGTAGACGGTTAAAAATAATTTAAGAATTAAATTATCTGTAGTTTTATTCAAGACGTATAATTATATAAGAAATTATTGGTTACGTATTGGTCATGGCAACACTAAATCAATAATTATAAGGATGCACTAAATGTTGAATCTGGTTGATTTTGTAACACACTGTAACTAGTGTTTTCTAAATACTTATTGAGGAATTGTCCGATAACAAAGGTATATTATTATTAGCTTAGTTTGTTTGTGTTTATATATTAATTGTGTAGGACAATATTATATAACAAAAAGTATGTCCCTAAAGTTTAATTGTTAAATTTATACATTTCTCTAAAAAAAAAAAACTATTTTAATTTTATTTTTTAGTAATATTATTTCCAAAAATAATAAACTAATTTATTTGTAGATATAATTTAATATTTTTCTTTTTTACACTATCCTATGTCTAAGCTGCAGGTATATTACCTTTGTTATGTGTTTCCTTATTTAAGCATATAAGATGGCAACCTAAAATCGGGATCGTATCTGCGACTTACATTTATATACTACACCACATATGGGGCATTTCACGTGAAGTGGACAGGAAAAAAAAGTGAGGTTCTGAAAATCGATCATATTCGGCCCATTTATACTTCTAATATGTATGAATGTGAACACAATTTTTTTTTTGTATAATGTATATTTCACAAGTTATCGGTTTCTGAAGAATTGTCGTAATTGTAATATCAATTTTATGAAAGTAGTTTTTCGAATTTCACAAAATTAAAATTAAATATTTAATATAGCAATACAGTTTGAAAAAATACTGTTCTTTTTTACAATAAAATGAAATTAAGAAAAAAAAAATTTTTCATGTCCAAAATCGGAAGTAAACTTTTCAAACCTGAATTTCAGTCACTTCGACCAATTTTTTTTTCTTCTTTTTTTTTAAATATAGCTTAAAGTATATTAAAAATACACAAGAAAATTCAAAATGGGATCTCTATTTGTTTAGGAGTTAGATTAATTAATGTACATACGCGTCGCAATGGGCGTAATATCTGGCGCTTGCATAGGTCGAGTAGTTTGCACGATATTTCATTAAAACTCGCAACTTTATTAATTTTTTATCTCGTTTCAACGTATTTAAGCTCTTACAAGGATGTGAAATAAGTATTATTAATATAATATACTAGCTTTCGCCCGCCCGGTATGTCCAATCTTTATAAATTACAGCCTATATGTTTTATTCTGATGTCTTAGTTACATTACTGCATAGTTTCATAAAAATGCATTCAGTAGTTTTTGCGTGAAAGAGTAACAAACATACATACATACATCCATACATTCTTACAAATTTTCGCGTTTATAATATTAGTAGGATATATATATATATATATATATATATATCTATATATATATATATATATATATATATATATATATATATATATATATATATATATATATATATAATACTTATTTCACATCCTTGTAAGAGCTTAAATACGTTGAAACGAGATAAAAAATCAATAAAGTTGCGAGTTTTAATGAAATATCGTGCAAACTACTCGACCTATGCACGCGCCAGATATTACGCCCATTGCGACGCGTATGTACATTCATTAATCTAACTCCTAAACAAATAGAGATCCCATTTTGAATTTTCTTGTGTATTTTTAATATACTTTAAGCTATATTTTTTTAAAAAAAAAGAAGAAAAAAAATATGGTCGAAGTGACTGAAATTCAGGTTTGAAAAGTTTACTTCCGATTTTGGACATGAAAAAAAATTTTTTTTCTTAATTTCATTTTATTGTAAAAAAGAACAGTATTTTTTCAAACTGTATTGCTCTATTAAATATTTAATTTTAATTTTGTGAAATTCGAAAAACTACTTTCATAAAATTGATATTACAATTACGACAATTCTTCAGAAACCGATAACTTGTGAAATATACATTATACAAAAAAAAAAATTTGTGTTCACATTCATACACATTAGAAGTATAAATAGGCCGAATATGATCGATTTTCAGAACCTCACTTTTTTTTTCCTGTCCACTTCACGTGAAATGCCCCATATAACTGTTAACTGTTGCCCAATAGAAAATTGATGCCAAACATATCCATTGTTCGTTAATGTTACAGAATGTATAAATAAATATAATAATTATTAATTACTTGTATATGTGCAAAGTAATGCTGCTTTCGCCTAAAATCCGGAACGTTTGTATCATCTAACATTGTGTGTACGTCATCTAACAGCTTTGTGTTGGAAGTGCAACCTCCTTAACTAAAGTTAACTGTTCAATCGAAAATTCGGATATCACTCTCTTGAAATGTATTAAAACTGTTATATTAATATTTTTTATTACAGAGTACAGTCTTAGTTTCTTAGATTTACGCGAATTTGTAACATTTTAAATAAAACTATCTTTTAAGATTATTTCGCGGATTTATTTCGATTTTTAGTTCCCGACGTTTCGAACGCTTTATGGTCACGGGAGAGACGTAAAATATTCCAAAAAGATAGTTTTATTTAAAGGTACGATAATATGTTATCCGAATAACGATAATTTATCCGAATTTTCTGCTTTATATAACATTTTTAGAAGAAATAATTGATTTTAACCATGTCGATTTAATTTTCGAATCTATTGTACTTTTTACTGTAGAAGCGAATATACTATTGTATAGTATTATATAATGCTGGCTTATTCTAAGTGTTAAATAAAATAATTTCTCATTTTGTTTTAAGTTAAATTTTTTATGTGATATCGGCGAACATGGTGTTACCATAGCGATATACAAATGTATTTGCTCTTGTTCCCTTGTCTAGTGAAACCAAACCAAATTTGTAGATAATGAAGATCACACACGGTGTTGACATATTATATTGTTATTGGTAAGACTTTAGGCTCTAATTTTAGTTGTACTATTGTTTTATAATAAGAAACATAATTTCGTATTTTTATTAGATCTCATACATTTAAATTGAATTCAGCATTTGTATAATTAAAAAGTATTTAATTGAGCCAAAGTTAAATTTATCGAAGTAATTTTCTTCATGCACAATGATACGTTATTATCGAGTAAATATGTAAAAAATACATGTATTTAGATTTCAATTAAAATTGTCGAAACCGTTTTGAGGTTAGGAGAATTAGGAAATACGTATCAAGTTCAGTATTAACTGCAAATAAATCCTATGCAGTGCTTTAGGATATACATAAATTTACCATGTTGATCCTTTATTACCGATTAAATGTATGTAAGATGTATTCCACGACGGGGCTGTGTTTTTAGTTTGAGAACTGTTGCATCCAGTGGCTTAGAATCCGTAAAATCTAATATTATGGGAGGTAGTTGAGTTTGTTATTGTAATGGCGTCCCGGGTTGCATCTGATATTAAAAAGCATATCACGGTATTGTTTTGTAAATTTGCTAGGAATATATTCGTACTATAAAGACCCGAGAAGTTTGTTGATGTTACTGCACTTGACGATTTTGTAGTTTTAGCTGCGTAGCAAGAATACAAAGCGCTGTGTGGCTACGTTTGACCGTACGAAATTTTATATCGAACTCTATAATAACCACTTTGTTAATTTTACAAAAATGGGCCTAAAATGATGACGAATGTAAGGTTCGATCTTGAATTGCGTTTGGACGGACGGATGTAGTCACAAAGCGTCATCACCTCGGTGTTTAGGTGTTTCAGTAGCTTAGAAACTAACACTGTCTCAAATTTTCTATTTCCGTCTCTTCTAGTAACGTAACGTATATAAATTTAATGCATTTAATCGATCAATATTATCCAGCTTGTCTGTTATTGTGTATTTAACATTGGACCCGTGTAACCTACTCGCTACACTAGCGATACATTTATATTGTATTTGTATGGATTAATCACAGTGTTGATATTACAAGTTTATATGTAAATTATATTAGTACTTATAATGGCTAAGACCAAAGCATTTGTTTCATAATGTTGCTGTTAGCAATATCTTTGGTCAATTATTAGATGTCTCATCTATGGTGATACCTTATGATCGTTATTAAATACGTATTACATAAAACTAAAGGAATTTTAATCATGAGATTTATTGCATTACATAGTCCCGCTTAATCATACGAGTTTTGACCAAATCTAACGTAATTAGCTGCGCAGTTTCTTCTTTACACTATTTACATTCGTTTATCCCTTAGCCCCATTTGACGTCTATTCCGATTTTTCCGATTTGACTGAGGAATACGGAGTGTGGCGTCATCGTATACAGTTCCTAAATAATTTGGTGTTCTTTCTAATTTCATTGCTCTTATCAATATTGACAAAATTGTATGAAAAATAATCGAATCATAAAGTTTTGCTCTCTTGTTAATAGCGTTAGTAGCATCGAAAAAGGTATAGGAAGAGATTGTTGGATTTGATATAGTTTATGAATATTGTTAATCTTATGCTGTATAAATAGAGTAATTAAATGCTATATGTGTACAGTGGAAGTTTGATTTGGCTCAATAGGTATATTAATAATGATTTAACCTTCTAACTTAATTAATAAATAAACAACAGGACATTGATTTAGGTAAGATATATTTCTGTGTTTCACATATTTCAATAAGATAATTACCATGTTTTTTGTATACCAGAAAAAATGTTGTAAATAACGAAATAACAATACAAGGAGGGGAGAGGAGCTTTCGGAAAATTAAATTAATATTATACGTCTATTATAAAATAATACATTTTTTCTATATTATATCAGTTTTAATATACATAATATATATATTGTAGGTATGTCTTATTGAAATATTACTATCTAATATGAGCATGCTGAATACATAATAGATGCATGATTTGCGTTCCCATATTGCTTTCGTTCTCATTAATTTATTAATTTTACTTCTCCATAATGTAATAATGCAGTACTTGGTTTACTGAATCGTCTAAATACCATCTAACGAGAAGATCCAAATTTTTGTATCGTTATTAATTCGTGTGTATGATCTATGCTTTATTTAATGTGAATGTGCCTCAAAATTTTTTATTGCGCTTAAATATTCCGTGTTATAGCTTGTGTTGTCATAAATTATAAATTATTCATATATTTTCTATATTAGTATTTACATTCCTAAACTGCTTTTTAATGCATATTGTTATTGACTTTTTCAATTGCCTATATGTTCGTATAGTTAAGTGTAAATATAACATTATATGATTTATTTGTTTCTTTATATATAGATATAATAAATTTATTTTAATATGTTATTAGCCGACCAGTGCCTAACGTGCCGCCAAAGCTGCCTGAGCGACCGCAGAACGGACGGCCATTTTGAACGCGCCCATCACCGCCATTTTGTGATATGCTGCTCTGTAAATATAATTTCTACTCTTACGCATATTACTTCTTTGCAATATTTAATGTATAGCATTGATTTGAGTCAATATCACGTTATTAGTGCTATTTCTGCGACGCTAAAGGTTTCTTATTTATTTGTTTAAATATGAAAATGCGTTATGCGTAATATATGTGTGTACGATAATTGAACGAATTGGTGAAATAATATTAAAAATGTAATTAATGTAAAGAGTATTGTATTGTTTGATATTGTAACGAACTTCGGACAATATTGAGTTGTTAGCGTGATAATTGATATTTCACATAATGTGTATATGTTTAAATCGTTGCACTATTATAGATAGCAAATTTATCTTATTGTAGTTTCAATGTTTTATAGACATTTTAATTTGAAATTTATTTAAAATTATAAAAAAATATATAAAATTAGTCAAATGAATGATTTAAAATTGTTTTTGTGATATGAGGAAAGGTGATTTTGGAAAAATACGCCTTTGTGAGATTTACACCGATTTATATAATTAATTGATATATGGCATTTACTTAAAACTGCCGCGTGTATGAGACTTAAAAGTGTTCCTTCTATACTTAGTATTTACTGGAAGAAATACTATTTATTGTAAAAGTTCAAATAAGCTTATATATTAACACAACGGATATTATGAAAAAAACTATTAAATATCTATGCTAAAAGCACTGAAAATCTTTTAATAAAAGATAAAATATATACTTAAAGCTCTTTCTTATTGTTATAAATTTGACTATGTTTTGATAAAATTTGTATTAAAACTAGGCATTTAATATTACTATATTCTCATAATCTCTAGTGATTTGTTAATTATATGTCGATTTATGTGGTAGATTTGTTTATTGGTTTAATTTACTTGTTTTATTTAATTTCTTAAGGTCATAGAATTGTTGTTTTTTTATAAAACTATTCACGCCTATTTTTGCATGCGGTATTCACCTTAAAAGGTAATGCATTTAGCAATAAGAACTTTGTAAAAGAGCATAATTTTTTTACTGTAATAATGTAATTACCACTGATGAATCTTAATAAATAAATAAAAGAAAGAAGGAGCTCTAGTATTAGTATGATTATTTTAATTGTTACACGACTTATTACGACCTATGCTATGATAAAATATATATAGTTGTCGATGTATACAATATCAAAATGAAATTAATTTGTCAGATCTCTTCATATATAAAGAGTAATTAACAATAATCCTAACATTCCTTTACCGGGTATTGTTCACGCGGCAGCAAAGTTGTACCTTTAATGTGTATATAGATGTAAAAAAACCTGTGACCTGTTTATACATTGTGTACTTGTGTATGCAGACTGTAATAAATGTGTAAATAAAATTAAATGCTGGCTTTTATTTAACTCGCCCTTTTGTTGTGATTTTATTTAAGAATGAAATAGAATTAAAATTTAAATTGTGCACGATTTTGCTTCAATCAACCAAATTTGTACTATGAAGGAGATCTCGTTTTTATAAAAACTAAAATAAATTAAAGTTCGTTAAATTAATAAGTCTACAAGATGAAAATATAATGTGTACTGTGAAACACTGTTATAATTAAGCTGCTTTAAAATTATATTTGTCAAACATTTGCTGACCAAGCATCTAAGACTATGCGTTAGGAACTGGAACTTGGTAGTGTCGATATTTGCAGTTCTTCAGAGCGACACAGTTTTAATACGTACTGTAATCGGCATCTGTATTTACACATTTGTGTCAAATGAAAGGGTTTGCTGAGAATAATACTAATAAGTTAACTAAAAAAATAACGTAATTGTAATAAATATTTATAAAATCTTGAAGCTTTTATTTGAATGTTTAAATTAAATCAAACCCATAATATAAAAGCTTGTCCCGAGATTTACAGATAAGAATCTGTACCAAAATGATAAAAAATAATGTTTTTTAAAAATATTTTTTTTACAATTATTTTTTATCAATAAGTTTAATCAAAAGTCATTTACACTTTATAATTCATATCTAGGTGATTTTTCAAGTAGTTTTAATGCATATTGTTACATTAATGTATATTATCGTCAGGACCCCACTGCTACTAATTGTTATATTGCATGACACGGGGAGAGCGGCTAACAATGTGAGAACGTTTCCGAAAACAAACTAATTTTTCTTAACAAATTAACCGTAACAACAAGTATGTAGCTAATAAAAGAACAAATAATATATTTTATATAAAAACGAAGTTATTTAGACTATACAAACAAATCCACCTAGTTATAAGAACAATTTTTATTTATTCTATCAAAAAGTAGAAAAAATATTATTTAACGATTTTTTTTTATCAACTGAACGTTAATGAATAAAGCTGCTATTCTTTCTTTGTATTAAATAATAGGTATAAGTCGACCATAAATCTACTGCCACGCCCCGTACGCCGCAAACACAAAAACAATGTCCATTATTACAATTTAATGAAGAGAGGAGGCTATTAGGAAGTGAATCTTGATTAAATCGTCGGTCAACGAACAATTGCTGGGTCCTCTGACTCTGTCGCTTCGCAGAGGCCTAATCGCACCCGCACGATTCTGATTACGTGTGATTGTTGTATCAATCATTTCCACTATTAAATTATTCAGTGGCCCGTAATTCTATCGCCTCCATACCTTCTCTTAATGACCGTAGACAAGAATGAAGTAAGGAGTCTATTTGGGCGCACTTAGTCTCGGTTTGTTACTCGATAGATTGTAATTCATATGCTATTATCAAAATTGGCGGCGGAAATGTCTTTGTGATAGGTACGTCTTTTGTTATACATTTTGATATTTGATGTGTACAATTTATATAGTGTGTATAGATTTGTGTAGTGGCTAGCATGTACGGCTGCACGCTCGGAGGTCCTGGGTTTGAGTTCCGGGTCGGGCCAAGTTTAGTTAATGAGTCTTTCTGTATAGTAAGTCTCAGTAACAGCCCGGAGTTGGGAAGTTGGCGGTGTTTCACCCCCGTGCCTCGGAGAGCACGTAAAGCCGTCGGTCCTGCGCCTTAACTCTCACTGGTCGTGTCGAGCAGTCGTCCCACCGAAGTAATGAGAGTGACAGGAATAGAGAGTGCACTTGTGTCTGCGCGTACACTTGTGCACTATAATATCTCCTGCGCAGTTGGCTAGTCTCAATGAGATTGCCGCCGTGGCCGGAATCGGCTAGGAGAACATCATCATACTCGTAAATCTATAATCTACACTTAACCATTTAAAGTTGATATTGTAGAATACCAAAAACATTAAAATATTCTTATCCCAACGTCCTAAGTAGAGCTGTATATGAAGAGGGAAAGATTACTAAGTGCTTACCTAACTAATATAAACTAATAAGTACTTTCTTAGATTTACGCGAATATTTGACATTTTAAATAAAACTACCTTTACGGATTATTTCGCGGATTTATTTTTATTTTTGGTTACCGACGTTTCTTTCTATCTAATCTATACTAATATTATAAAGAGGTAAAATTTGTGAGTTTGTGACGTTGTAGGGGGTAATCTCTGGATCTACTGAACCGATTTAGATGAAATTTGGTAAGAAGGTAGTTCACTCTGGGAAGGACAAAGGATACTTTTTATCCCGAAAACCATCCCTTAAGGTGAAAATGGGGATGAAACTTTGTATCAGGAATCAAGCGACGAATGACGAACCCGAGCGAAGCGAGGGTGAGTCGCTAGTATAAAATATCAAATGATTATATGTGCCTAAAAATAACGGTAAATCAAAATGCGATTATTCTTCTCTAAATTAACTATTCTTACATTAATCGAGGTTTCCTACTACCTAACAAACGATATAAGTACTTCCTTAAATAGCGTTAATAAAGTTAATAGGTGTAATTTCATGCATAAATCATTTGGTAACACATTTTCCGTATTCAGCGTTTGTAAAATCGGTTATTTCTAGTTTCTATGCAAATTTTGTATATACAAAAGCTATCTTAATATATCTTATTAAATCTTTATGTTATAAAACAGGGATGACAAAATATAAACTACTTACATATGTCAGACGAAATTTTGAACTTATTGAATTCTCTTGTTAATGGCTTCAGCCTTCAAAGCGTGCCAGTTAAATACAGATTACTTCGCCAATGTCACGTAGAATGGAGAAGATTGAATTTTACTAGTTGATATCTTGCAAACTGACATTGATTAGTTACATACCAATCGATATATCAAATATATTCTACAGGAAAAATATTCTAATTCATAAGCTAACTGCTGATAATTTATATTGTTTGTTAAATAATTTATATAAGAAAATAAATAATATATTTATTTGTTGTCTATCCGTTAGTAAATTAGAGGACATTTTATGGTATACACGGATATTCCCTCCAGAACCGCGGACACTCCGGCGTTACAGTTAACAATAGATTTCTTAGAAATTTAATTAATTTCTTAGAAATATACCTGAGAGCATAGTTGGATGGCTAATGGCACTAATCTGCTAAGTACACATTCTATCTACTTACATGAAAATGAGAAAATTATAAGTACCTACATATTACGTATTTATAGATAACTATAATAAATTTCTAATCATATGACTTTTAACACCTTCAGATAGAATAATAGTTATATATATATATAATAATTTATCTTAATAAGATTTCATTAGGATTACGTTAATAAAGTAAGCACATTATGTTTACGTATTATTATCAATAGCATAACTAATTATAAAATTATGTTGACCCACTTTCTTTTCTTTCGGTCAATTCTAAGTAATTTTGCAACTAATATTCCAAAGAAACTTTTTAAAATACTAGGATAGATTGTAAAGTCACTGTCCTCCCCCTGGGTAACATCTCTATGTAAAATATCAAATAGACTGTAGAGTCGTTGCTCTATTGCTACCTAAAAAATTGATAAACTATAGCAAACCATAAAAATGGTAACACTTGTATTATTATTTCATTAAAATTATAACAAGAAAAATTAAACATTACATAATAATAGAACTGAATGTTTTGATAAAGTTATTTCAAAAATCTTTTCACCTCAAACAAGGTGGATACATAATTATGGAGACATTATGTAATAATTAGGAAATCGAAATCTCAAGTAAATCACATTCCTTATTATGGTACAATTGTTAAAAATTACTCTAAATTTTCCCTTATATGTCTTTAATTAGGTAGGTGCGAACAAAAATCGGTACTCTCATATAATTAAATACTTGTCTAATTTAATTAGCAATAGGCGAGTTCCCACAAGTCAGAAAGTCACCCTCGCTTATTACGTCGAAGCCGAATTCTCCCAACAATTAACATGCGAACTCCACACATAGTAATTACAGGTGTTCGTTGTAAACGTCGGTTCAATCATTTCAATCGTAGAGGACAGCTGTTAAAAGTTTTTTTGTTTATAACAGAATCAGATTGCAGGGCACATATTATGTAGAAATGTATTTATATTAAATGTGCTTCCTATAATAATATTCTTGTTTTTTTTTATTTGTTACTTTCATTGAAATTAACTTCATTGGTATTCTGGAAAAATACCCAAGAATTTATATGAATACTAGCAGATCCCGCAGTTTTGCTCGCAATAAAACTACAAAAAAACTCTCAAAAGGTAGTTTTCATACAAACTTTCATCCCTTATTTTACCCCCTCATAGGATGCATTTCTAAAAATGCTAAAACACGTATTTATTTAATTATATTGAAGAGCATTAATACCAAGTTTCAAGTAATTCTGATCATAATTTTTTTTTGGGGTAGGTATTATAACGTGTGTTACCGTGGGAATGAGATCTCCCGCGGTAAAAGGTAGCCTATGTCATTCTCCAGCCCTCCAACTATCTGCACACAAAAAATCACGCCAATCCGTTTCGACGTGAAAGAAGGACAAACAAACAAACAAACAAACAAACACACTTTCACATTTATAATATTAGTATGGACTATAAATTTTATATGTTATAATATTTGTATGTATCAACTATCAAATATGTTCTATTTTTGAAAACTATATTTTTGAAAACTAATATTTGTTAGGTACATAGGTATATGTAGTAAGTACCATTTATTATATAAAGCTATACTTACTTATGTAACTTAGTTTTACAAAAAAAATGTGGTAGACAGCTATATAAAAAAGGATTAAAAGCTTAGTGATCATTAGCAATAGGTGACTACTTATAACGGTGCGGCTTAGAAAATACGAATCTAATTGAAAAACTTTTCCATCGACAATCATCAAAACTCGAAAATAACTCTAGGTTTGACATTTTCTCCTTTCGTAGATTTATATAGCTTTAACTTAAGCAGTTAAAGTAATTCGAACTTATAATACTCCACTGGCCATGAAGTTTTTGTAATTATGACAATTTCTTGACATAATGACACTTAAAATCGTAGGTAATTCGAAAAGTTACAAAATGATTACATTGTATATTGTGATTTAACGTACATTTATTGCTTTTATGAAGCGAAAGGAACGACTGGTATTGGGGACTGTAGATGACAATGTAAATAATAACCACTTATTATAAATATAATATCTGAAAGTTGATTACATACTTGTCAATCGTGAAATCATCAATTGTAGGCTTTAAACAAAGGAAAGGCCAGCAGCGGTTAACGAAATAGCTAGCGAATACTTTAGTACTCGAGAACCGTTTTAACTTTTTGTAAAGTGCAACACTTTCCCAGCCCCTGTAAAGGGTCCTTCAAAACGCTACTGCGTTTAGACAAATGAACAACGTTGCACCCTTGATGGCACACGCCACGGAACATGGATATACCGCAACAGGAAATGAACGAAAAAAAACTATTTTGAAACTAAATTTTTTATATTCTAACACCGAGTTATTTCGCGAAAAGCTTTTATTTAACTCCTACACACGTCGGATAATCATTCTGTGGGTGTACGTTGAGTGGTAAATGTTATAAGATAAGTTAATGTACATGTTTGATACCTATTAGATAATCTATCTTTTATGTGTTTGTCGTGCTTATACTTTTTGTTATACTTTCAAAAATGAATGGTGATAAATATTCATAATTTATAATATCAACTTAGTTACGTACTGTGACAGTTTATGTGGTCCGGTCCGTGTTGATGGAGATCGATTGCTTGTTCTTTTTTAAAATGATTAAAAATTTATGTGTAAGATCATATTGAAAAATTAAAGATATAAAATGTTATGGCTAAGTGAAGCTGCAAACAGTAGATCGAATAAACAACAATGTAATCAGTACTTCCAGTTCAATTAACTTGGTGTTAAATACAATAAAAGTTTTGGCGTACAATAGCGGAACTCGTGGAACACAATAAATCAATTGGAGTGGGTGGTTGACTTTTCACTCAAATGTGTGGTTAATTGTAACCGAAAATGACTGTTGATCGAGCCACACTTAATTTGAGTGGTGCGTTAGTAGGGGCCGCGGCGATGGGGTGGAAAGCAATGGTTCACTTGATTGTATGATTATTTGATATTTGTACATATCTTGTACACCGGAACTGAAGTAATTTGATCGTAATATTATGATAATTAACGCTGATATGGAATTTATAACACTATAATTGTCATGATTTTATAAAGCCTTTTTGGCAAAGTGATGCAGTATTTTCTTTTCTTTTTGTGACTAGCTCTAGAGTAAACATAAATGGCGATTTATATTTACATATCAGCTTTTACATAAATAATGTTTAATTTTTATATACGCATTATTTCATGCATCTACAGTATGTATATATAATATAACGAAACATATAGTGTTATGAAGAAATATTACGCTTTTTTACCAAGTAATCAGAACTTTTAATAGTTTTGCCCATTGAATAGCGTACCCTTAGTTTACGGTTACACCCTTCTTTTTTATTTAATGTGCAGAAGAAAATTACACTTTAATTGCTCATTTGCGTCATTTAACTTTGTGGAATATGTAACAACAGAAATAATAACAATTTTGAGTGCTTTATGTTTGTTTTCACTCGTTGCTAAGAGACAGATAAATCTTTCTGAAGACCGTTACATAAAATTATCGTTTAGTTTATGCATACCACCTACATATTCAGGTTTTATTAGAGTGACGCAGGACTGCATTCACATTAACCAAAACGCCACAATGGCCGAACTAAGGCAGACCTTCTCTCGAGCGCTAAGGCCTCTTGGATCATCCAAATTTGTAGGAGTTTAAAAATTTTTTTTATTATTTCCCTATTTTGTATTCTTTCCCATCAACAACAATCAACAGGTTACTATCATGCGTCATGGTCCACTCGTCTATCAGAGAAATACAAGGAGCAACATACAATTACCTACCTAACACTAACGTTATATAGATACCCTTCGACAAACATCGAGGCAGGTGACATGCTTTCCAGTGTTTCTTATAACAAGATGGAGAGGATGGTCAATCCTTATCTTATTGCGGCCGTGCGACATCAGGTCAACAGGTAAGGTATTAAAAATCACAATTTCATTTTTTTTCAAAAACTTTTCCTCCAAAGTAGCTGGGCAAATACGTTCCGTGCATGGAGAAAAGAAAATATGAAGTTAGAATTAATAATTATAAAAGTTGAATTTCTATCTAATACTCATTAATGACTAGATTTTTAATTATCCTAAAAAAAGCTCCTCCTTCTTGATAACTACAGTTCTAAACACAAATTTAGATTTTTATTACGAAAAACTCGATATTCCTTATATAACTTATAAATGTCAAGGGTTAAAAAACTTTAAGCTACATGTCATAGGTACATATATAAGTTGTAATAATGAATCGTATGAAGCCGAATTTGGCTTTATAAAGACTATCACGTAAAAAGCTTAGTCTGGATAAATAAAAAAACAAAGAAGTTAAAAAACCAAGTAAAAATAAAAAAAATATATAATTAAATATATGTTAGAGCTCGTTATATTCGTTATTATTAGAGCTGACTGATAAAATTATATTATATTACATAAATATTATTCTTCGGGCCAATACATTTCGATCATCTTCTTGAGGCGGTCGTCAAGCTCTTTTCCTTCTGGTGGTTGCTTTCCCAGCAAGAACACAAACTTTTCATGGCAGTCCATCATAGCGAGATACTGGCCTTCTATTATCTTCAAACGCATCGGATAACGGTGAAATTCAGCCAAATCTAGCTTTGCTGTAAAAATATGTTATTTAAACTATATATCTTAAGAATTAACGAATTTTATTGTATCGTATTTTTCAATACATATAATTATATATTTTTATGGCATAAAACATTTTATTTATACAAATATATGTAACAAGATTTTTTATGAATATTCCACTATATTGAACTAGGGCATAATAGGGAATATAATGAGCTCTTCAAATAAAAATCTAGCTATTATATATAGCATAACTTTCAGTGCAAGAAGGCTGTAAGTACGTTTTTCAAAATTATAATAATACGATAAGTACCTACCTGTAGGCGGTGGCATCTGTAGAGTTCTATAAGAACCATTACCTTCCAATCTTTCTAAATAGTAGTCCCTTGATTTAGAAGAGTTAACGCTCTTACAAGGGATCTGCATTTTTAAAGATAGAGTGTCCCAATTTAGGTTTTCTACGAATTTTTCGATTAGCTCTTGAAGATCTTTTCTCTCCTAGAATTTGATATTTTTTTGAATATTTATGTATTACTTTTTTATTATTTATTAGCAACTCACCCTCGCTTCCTAGGTACGTTTTAACAATTAGTATCGAATCGATAAACTATAATATAAGTATCATATATAAGTATATTTCCGGGATTAAAACTATCCTTTGTCCTTCCCAGGGTCTCAAACTATCTTCATCCCAAATTTTATCTAAATCGGCTTTGCGGATTTGTAGTTTATCCATTACAAACAAAAATACAACTAAACTTTTTCTCTTTATAATATTAGTATAGATATAGATAATTAACCTCCATAATTTGAAAAAAGTAGATAAAAAAATACTACTAATAGCTATGGAATATGCATCTATTACGACTACCTCGGTCGTATAAGTTTGGTTGGCTAGTGTCATTGTGGCGTTATTATAAGTCCCCTTAGAGCCATTTTCTTAATGAAAAAAAATATATATTTAGCTTCTCCTTCAGCTTATATCGATTACATAACTCTTAGAAGCAGATTTCTGTTTAGTCAAATAAAAGGTAATGTTTTATTAAATGAATTATATGTTAAATAAGTTACCTGCGTGTTAATGTTAGTGAACTCAACGCAATGAGGGTCGCCGGAGCCCTTTGTTTGCTCTGTTCTAAAATGGAGCAGATGCCACGTGCCAACTGCTTCGGAGTCATTAAAAGTTACTCCTTGAGAGAAGCTCTGACAATTCGGCCCATTCGTATTCTTGGCGGATGATTTGGCATTTACTACAACAACGACGTGTAGCGAAGCTGTAAAATATAATTAGAATTTTTATGAGTCATTCTGTAATGTTTTTATTAGCTTCAAAATTAATCGATTACTTTTTTTAGCATTTTTTTTAACATTTTAAAATGTTTCTTATAAAGTTTAGTGACATTAAAAATACTGAAAACATTCTATCATAAACAATTGGTCAATGCCGCGACGATTACATATCTACATCACACATGTACACTTCTAATCTAATGTTATAAAGAGGTAAAGTTTGTAAGTTTGTATGTAGAAAATAATCTCTGAAACTATTGATCCAATTCAGGAAATTCTTTCACTAATAGGAAGCTACATTACGGCCGAGTGCTATAGAATTTTTTTTAAATGGCTTTTGAATTGCTTTATTGGCGTGCGCTATCTAAACGGTATATAAAAATAAAAACATACAGCCGAATTGAGAACCTCCTCCTTTTTGAGGAAGTCGGGTGAAAAGCAATAATGTTTTTTTTTCAAAAATAAAAATTAAAACTCGATTGCGTAAAACGCGAATTAAAAAGACGAGAATAAGTTGAACTAAGAAACATATGTTACATATAATAAAATTGTAACTATCTGTACATTAAATATTTTTTGGAAATTCTTATTGAAATAGACATTATTATCGATACAGAGGCCGAATTTATAGTTTTTAGAATTTGTGTCTTTCTGTCTGTTTGTCTGTCTCTGACCGCATCACGAAAAAAACCACCGGAGGGATTTTGATGAAATTTGGTATGGTGATAGCTGGTTATCTGGGTCAACATATAGGATACTTTTTTTTACTGCGGGAAAATATCTCCTTTCTGAGAAATCTGTACTACCTAAACATTAAAACGTAAGTAGGGACGAACCCGAGCGGAGCGAGGGTGAATTGCTCGCTAGTAATAAATATTATGCAATTCGAGACATACTAGTTTATCACTAACTGTGAGTAACTTGCTACGTGTAATGTACATGTGTATGTCTTCGACTGCATAATACTATGTTTCTCTGTCATTTCTTCTCATCCTTTTCGTTCGCTTTTTATGCAATTGTGTTTTTTTATTTCCATAAATGAGTTTTTTAATAACCACGTCTTAGTTTTGGTCAGTTGCACATTTTTAATTTTATTTGACAAGTACCTGCGAAACCGATAGTAATATAAACAATATTAAGCATAGAACAATGAATAGTGACTTGTCAGCGTAAAGACTTACCAATTGCCATCCGATGACGACTGACTGCGAATCTCACCTATCTGTGATTTTCCTTACTAACGATAGAAATTTTGATGTATTTTGTTAGCTTATGTCAAACTATCTCTAGTAAGGAAAATTTTAGATAGATAGGTTATTGCAAAGCGCCTTATGTGTTATAATGTTCAAGTTTTAATGTTACACTCATAAATATGAATATATAACACTTCAATGAAGTGTATGCATTTACAACATTATTGAAAATCATGATATTAAAAAGTTAATAAAAGAAAGATGTGAAAACATAATTACCAAAAAAAATAAGATGCCAAACTGGCGACATGTTGAGGTATAGCATGAGCTGCGGTAATGAACTGAATGACTTGATTAACTGTGCCGAAAGGATAACAGCATTAAACGGCCATTATAAAAAGCGTAAGATTGGAGCTGGCAATTTTGCGATTGTTTTTGTACCTACTGCTAACAGATGCGAGTAGTTTGTGATAAAACTATGAATATGTACTTCAAAATAAATAATACTTATGTGCATTGAGCTTATAGGGTTATTGCATGATACTCGTTTAGGGAAAGCTGAGTTTGCGGATAAATCCATGTCAACACGTAACATAGGAATACTTTGCGGCAACGAAACAGGAACGAGATTAATTAAAGGTAATAATTTTCATTTTTCTAACGTGTCTTAAAGTAAATATTATCAATGCGAAAATATTTAACAATAAGTAATCACTGACTGTACTTTTTCTATAGACACTGTATATCACTTGTTAATAGTATTAAACTATTAAGAGATAATATAAATAAAAATGCATATTTCAATATTCATAACAGAAGTACAGTAAACAATAAAACATGTGTGTTTAATATGTCATACTCATCATTGTTTACTTTTCAAAAATGTATTATATGTATTATCTGTCTGTCTGACTATGGCTTGGAAATAAGTACATAATAAAATATTGTGTTTATAAAAATAAAACAACTCCATATTTTTTGGCTCTACGGCAATGCGTTGGAGTAGAAGACAAGTAGGTACACTGTAACTGAATAATATGCGACGTCCTGCCTGTTGTCCTTCTGCAATTGGACAAATAGCTTCAATGCATAATTAAATAAATAAATCTTTATCCAATATATTATTGTAATACATAAGAAATAGTAAAAAATCATTCTATTTTTCATAAATTTGAATTTATTTTATATGAGTTTATAAAATATAAAAATAACTATACTATCTATAGAGTTAAAACGATTTAATAAAAAATAAAGAAATATACACATATGTATTGTATTAAAGTAATTGTCTAGCATAAAAGTCTTTAATTTTTAGCTTTATCTTTCTATTGTTAGAGCACAAATCATAACATACTCGTAGTACCTACTGGGTATATGTAGGTGCAAGTAGATAAAGTTAGTATATATAGTTAATCCTCATTTATCCTATCCTTTAATAATAATAATGTATGATTCTACACGTAATTTATTTATGTTTTAAAAAAATTCATGAATGTAATTAAACCTGGGCTTTTAAATTTTAAATGTTATTATAATGTACGATCGATGTTCACGTTTCGTATTACATACGCTCGAACCACAATTTTTTAGACGTCCTGTGCGGTTAAGGGCAGCTCTTGTCTTTGTCTTAAGTATTAAATGTTTAATTTTTATAATAATACATAATAAGGTAAAATATACTTTAAGTAGATATTATAAGGCTGAATTTTGATTAAACAGAGTATCATGAAACAAGGAACTGTGGTTTGCGACGCACGCGCTCCTCGTATTCATTGTTAGGGATATGTTGTTTTTGCAGGTTTTTTAGGCGTGGGCACCTGTTGTTCACTTGATTTAAATTTAAAACGTCTTTCCTCGATAAACATTGTCTCGCCTTTGTTAATTAAAACATTTTTATATATTTTAAGGATTATTTCTTTATTAATTTTCTTAAGTCAGTCAGTCATAACTTTTACTGGTTGACTAATTTTTGGAGAAATCGTCACTTTTGTTACTACTTAGTAGTAGTAGAAAGGTTCGATATTATGAAAAATATACAAAATTTTATATTAAGCTTTTATGAATAAAATTACAAACTTGTTTTTTCCAAATTATTGCTTTGTCTGCCAGGATGTTTTTATTGCAATACATTTTGAACCTGCAAAATTTCATTATCAATACCCACCACATTTCATACTTTTTTTTAATCAAGAGCAATGCAATTGTAAAAAAAAGCTTTAGGCAACACACAGTTGATTATGCTCAAACAAAAAAAGCATTTTAATATTATTAAAAATGATTACCAATGTCTAATATCTTGTTAGTTTTTTAAAATTATTTTCAACTGATAAATTTTAATTAAAATAATAAAAAAAAGTAGATATCCAGGACTCTACTCAAGAACCTTTAGAAGTTTAGACTTAAAAAAACGTTAAGGTTGTCAAACTGAACAATTAAATGAAATATTAGATCTAACTAATAATACTAAAAATTGTTAATGTAATAAATACTTGTGACATATTATGTGCATCACAGACCTGTTAGGGTCTCGATGATCTTACTGAGTGCTCTATAATAATAAGTTCTATGGAATTAGCTAGTCTCAGTGAGATTGACCGCCGTAAATTGGTTGGGAGGACATTATTTTTATATCATAAATCATTTTTATATACATTTTTTTTGTTATTATTATATATAAATACTCGTATTTACAAATGTTTGGCTAATTATCAATTTTATAACGTAATGTATGAACGGAAGTAAAGCACTGATTTTAGAATTTCTGAACAGAACTTAATGAAAAAACTCTAACGTTATCTAGATCTAGTAGTGGTTCCCGTGAATAATAGTTAGTTGCAAAAGTTTATTGAAGAAACGCCAGTCGATCCCTAAGTAAGTTATGAAAGTTTATCAATCTTTTGTTTGTTATTTGATTTCATAGCAATTTTTCTAAACAACGTTTAAACAAATATAAATATACTACTTCTTTAATGATTTAATATTAGAATGCGATAATTTATTATTCGCACAGAACCTGTAAAGTACCTTGGAATCTATAGTTTTAAAAATATTTTTATAATTATATATTGTTTTATATAAAAGAAACCACTGGATTTTCCATCAATAACATGATAAACAGAAATTGCTTTTAATACCTACCAGTATAATGTATTGCAGTTTTTTAATAAATGTAATTAGCTGAGGATATAATATCACGATTAAAATTATTTACAATTCTACAACATGCTTGGTGGTACAATCATAGCATTATGTCATCTTTGGTGGTATTTTAAAAATAATTTTATGTAGGTACTGCTATGTCAGAACAAAATTACTCAATAAAAGTTAAAAATAGAATAACTTTTTTGAATTATCTCTATAAAATATCTTAATATACCTATTATATGAAGGTTTAAGGTTATTGAAACAAGCGCTTTCATTTACTTTTCTATCTAATTTTCTAACTGAAATAACGGTTTTCCCAGCAAGAGAGTTTATGTTGCATGGTTTCTTTTAAAATATTAGACAGTTATTAAGGCAAATGTAATTTTAAAGGCACAATTGATCTCTGAATAACAAAAGATTCCTGTAATATAATTGATTATAAATGAAGGTATACATAAATGTTATTCCAATAGTAGCTATTTGAAATAAAAATTACCAAATATGTAGTTTTAAAACTCAACTATTTAACGCTCGTATTGCATTTGAACTTTTCTCATGAGGAAAAAGCTCATAGGCTTTTAAGTTTTTATGAATTTGGTAAGTTAGCTTAAATAACATATTTACCTGATACTTTTTGCAACACACACACAATTATAATAAACTTGTTTCGAGATTATAAACCTGATGTCACACGACCTGTAAACTAAATACTTATAAAATAAAAAAAAGTTTATGTTAAAAAATAAAAATCTATAGACTAATACTTTCTTTTAAATTTAGTTTTCACCATAATTAGATCAATCTTTTTTTATTAAGTATACTATACTATTTATAATAATATAATATGAAATATTATACATTCATCAATTACATATTACAGTTGTTGTCAAAAGGGAAGTACCCAAAAGACTGGCAGTGTAGCCTCATTGGGTGGCCTCCTGCGCTTAATTTTGTACAAAATTGACACACCGATCCTCACGGTTCCAAAGTCACAACGTCAACTCTCATAAATATAGCCCTCACCAATTTTAATCACCTTGTTCCATGTTCATTCTAAAAGAATAAGAAGGGACGTACCTATCATTATAATGTTATAAGTATGCATTTGCAAAAATTCAAAATTTAAAGGTAATTTTCAGAAATTTGTGCTAGTTGTATTATTAGTAAGAAAAATATGAAAGTATAATACATATATTCAGGTGGTGTGTTGCTCCTAGTTTATGAGGGAAGGCTATCTGGGGAGATTAGGTCGTGCAGTATATCAACGCACGCCCACCCTTCGCCTAACATGATCCGAACTGCAACCTATATTACTTACGGGGTAAGTATTTCGTTTATTGTATATAATGTAATATTATAATTGTTCTGTAATAGATATAATATTTTACTGTGATCTCAATAGCCTGTGATGTAATAAGACATTTCGTCTTATTTAGTCAATTCGTATTTAATTATTGCTTAGTTTCAGTAACATAATGCAGGTGTTTATTTTTTATCCGAAAATACGTTAACGTGTTTTTTTAATATTCGATCCGAATCGATCTCACCTGCCACGGGAAATTAGCGAAACAATATTTCATAGCGAGTCATTAGCGATGCTCACAATACGTTAGATGCCTAGCTTTTGTTCTGTGGCATAGACATCCCGGCGTGGTTTTAATTACTAAACTTCGAATACATTAATGTAATCAAAGCTCGATACATCATACTCGCTATCGCCCCGCCTCGCTTTGATTAATAATTCTAATGAGCGGCGGTGCCAAACGAGTTAATTAAGCATTCGTTTTTTTATTCGGTGCCACTGCGACCGGTAAACGCTGCATCAATCACCGCTTTTGAGTCAGCCGCCGAATTCTTAATGATTGAAATTATGACTATAGTGTAGGATAGGGGTATGAAAAAGTATGCGTTCCGCTTTAGATGTGCTACAAGCCTTTTTGGTAATAATTAGCATTTAAAAGTAGAAAAAATGTAATATAAAATAAACGATAATATGTACATGTACAAGAAATAATAAGTACCTACTTCTCTAAATACAGCAGTACACTGTGTGATCGTAAATGGTAAGAATTTGGCAAAGTATGTATAGAGAAAGCTTATTGCAAAAAAAGTCTATGACCCTTAAATGCTTTTATGACAAAAAATACTCTATCAAACTTGTCAGCTTTTTAAAAATGTTGA